TCTCCGACTCAGATCATTTCGCTACTAAATTTAAATGATGCAGTGAACTAATTCTCTAGAAATTACTTACTCTGCTTTTTTTCGTTTTTAATTTGTAATAATAATTTATATTGCGTGTTTAGTTTCACATCTGACTCTCATTAGCCTATTTTTTCTAATTATCTTTTGAAGTCTTGCTAACATGTGTTTTTAATTTGTTTTTATTTATATTAATACTACATTGTAATAATATGTAGGGTAAAACAAGGCTTTCTCGTTCACGAGTCAGCGATAATGTTTCTGTTTATGTTTATGAAGAATATATTCAACATTTATTCTGCTTACGCTTTCAAGAAAAAGTCAATATTTGTATAATGTAACTATAAGTATGTCACTGGAAAGATGCACATTAATCTTCTACAAATTTTTCATATTTATACAATTTTCGCTTTAAACTTGAAACTTGAGAGCCTCCCTCCTTTTCCCTATTATGTTTGATTGTTATTTAGTAGACTATGAACTGTAAAGATTTAAATTAGAATTTAACATAGAACTTTCTTTTTACTGTCAATTATGTTTTTCTCTCTTCGTCTTTTGATTGTTCCTAAATGGCATATTGTGTTTATATTTATTTGTTAATTATATTATATCAAAGACACAAACATATTAAGACACAAAAAGATGTATGTTTGCATTTCTGCTTAATGTAAATATGCGATTGTTTTCTAAAAGAGATTTCAAAGAAAGTTTAGAAAATTATCCGATAATGTAAAATTCCCTAAAATTTAAATGATCCAGAACGTCCAAGCATTTAAAAATAGCATGTATGTTTGCGAAATGCGACAATGAAAAAAAAATTTTCAAAATTTTTGTCGAGATTTTTAATTACTTTTACGATCATGATTCCGAAAATCTTTCTTGCATGAAAAGCAAGGAGGCGGAACGCGAACTACTGAAAGTGAGCAATAATAAGCAGATTGACCATTACTATAATACAGTAGTATGCTATAATATCTTTAGTATAATATATGGATGCTGCAAATGAATAATAAATGAGGATTTCATTGCTGCGCCGATCCCTATTATCAATTTTATGAGACATTTAAGGCAAAATATACCTTGTATTTATAATAATTATTCTTGATCATTTCGAGTTATGATATTATTATCTTAATAATACATACATACATTACTATCTCTTTATCTCCAACAAGTATCTAGAAGAGTAATGACATCATAATAATAAGACAAACAATCATAGTAACATATTAAATTAAAATTATGTAGAAATGTACAGATTAATTTAATAAGTCAAATTATTATATTACAAAAACAATATTATAGACATCTAATGATTATTGTATGTATTTCTGATAATAAAAGATTATTATGAGAAGCACATGCTATATTCATTAGAAGCCTAATATTATGTTTAAAATAACAATTTGATTTATTAATTAACTATTATTATTTAATTCCATATTTCATTTTTACTTAATTTCAGTTTAATATACTATTATACTTGTCTGCTCATTAATACGATAATTCTTATTCTTTATTATTAATTTTATTAATACTGTATTATTATTATTATCAGTATTATTAGTAGTACATTTAATTTAATTCTTAAGTTCTCTATTTTTGAATATATGATGTTGCTAGTCTACGATTAAAATTAACTTTGAAACTTGTTCAATAAGAAAATTAATTTTGTAAAATGACGCTACATTTTCAATAATTTTCTTAATTTTTCAACATCGTTGAGAAATGCCGCTTGATGATTTCATCATTGGCACGATCTTTTTACATCCGTCTTTCTATTCGCTTCACTACCGTGCCGGACATTTTGGGGGACACGCGCTTCACTACTTTGTTATTTTGCTGGTATTCCGAATCATCGACGAAATAACGACCGGCATGCGTTCTCTCTCTCGAGTCATTTTGAAACTCCTCAGCGGAATGTTCGCCTTCCTCCTGCTTGTTAGCGTAGAATTTCGTGACGTCGTCCGTGTAAATGTGCCCGCTAGCGGACTCGCCACCCTTGCTGTAACCTTCCTCGTACGTGTGCACGTAGGGCTCGATGTCATTGATGTCATCGTTTTCCTTGACATCCTCCTTCACCGCGTACTGCGGCGGATACGAATATCCCATTACATCGCCGTGTTGCCCCTTCAGGTAATCGGGTTTGTTCTTCTGTTGCAACATGGGCATATAAGAATCCCGATGATACTGGGCGAAGGGAGTGTTCTTCTTGTGATCTGCCTCCTTGTGGCCGTAGTCGTCCTTGTAATCTTTTTGACTCTTGAACGATTCATCGTTCGATTTGTCGTTGTGATCACTGTGATAGCCATAACTGTTCCAAGAACTCCAGTCGTCGTGATGCGTCTCCTTGTGATGGACCTTCTTTGGCGGCTTTTCCTTCTTCTTGGGTTTCTTCTTGGGTGCCGAAAGATCCGGCTTGTGAATATGTATGAACACCGTTTTCGTATGAATCTGATGCTTTATTATCTCGGGCACGTGAATCTTGAAGTGCACACTGTTAATGGAAAATAAATTATAGGAAAAATAAGTTTAAAGATGCATGTATTACGTATCAAAATAATGACAAAATTGTAAAAATTAACGTAGACTAATTCTACTATTTTTTCTACGTATCTATGCAAATACAATTCTCTAAACGAAAATTATTTAATTTTTAAATTTTCCCTTGACCCTTACAGAGAGATCTTTACAGTGTATTGCAGCATTAATACAGAAACTAAATAGCATATTTACAACATATATTTTAAAGTTATTAATTTGATACATAATTGATTATTTTCATATTGTGTTAATCATGTTTTACCTTTATTCGACATCTAAAATTTTCCTACAAATTATTTTTGTTTCTTGACATAGATTTCATTAATCAAAAATTTTTATTAGAAAAAATGTTAATTATAGATATTTTCTTTTTTCAAATGTTTAAAATCTACTATTTTATTTATTTCGATTTCTTTATAATTTAAATCTATTTATTTGATTTCAAACAGTATAAATATAAAAAGTATTCTTTTTAAATTTTGACTTTAAATTTTAACTTTTTGCTACTATCCTCTAACAAATTTTCCATGTATAAATATATAAAATATATCCAATATAATAAAATATAATTATATATATAATTACATATGTGATTATTAATACGTATATTTATTTATTTATAATTATATATAACTTATTACATATATTTATATATATTTATATGTAATTATATATAACTATATTACCATTTCATATAATTATATATTTTTATATATGGACATTTTATATCTCATGCCTCATATATAATTATATCTAATTATAAATGGGAAATTTATATCGGGATTATGCCTCCCCATACCTCTTTAAGGATCAGCGAAAACTGTGCAGACAGTATAAAGTTCAAAATAGGCATATAAGATGTCTTATATCTTGCCTAGATATATGTTGTTATTTCAATATATCGTTACTTTAATTTGATACTGAACTGGATTTAGAAACGCGTAAAAATTATAGAACACTTTAATAAATATGGGAAAGCAATTAATTTATTTTTAGCTGGCAACGTAATAAGAGATGGGAGCAGGTGTATGCATCCTTTAATTTATCGACAAGTGAGACCGAGAGTAAGCGCGGTCTATGATTTTCGCTACGAGAAAGCGTAAAACTTCACGGTCACGTTCAATGCCGAGCATCTCTTAACGAAGCTACGCAGTTCCGTGCGAGAAATAGAATGAATTTATCTAATAACATGGTACCATTTGGATACTCACTGCTCTTTGGCGCTTTCGTTGTTCAGCACCTCGTTCAACAGAATGAAAAATAGAATGATAACGATCCTCTGCAATGCAAAATCGCGATCGTTAGATTACACTTGGATTCACCCATAAAACACGTACTTTCTCAATTATTATATCAATTCAGGTATATTTATCGTTTGCGTTAATCACAATTCCGTTATATCGATATCCACGGGATCTCTCGCTAATCTAAATCGCGTTTAAGAACGATGCACGCACATGTAATTCGAAACCAATTACACCAATTACACTCGAGAGTATAGTCGTGCAGATGTCGATACATTTGAAATTTTTCACTCGCAATTTTTTTTTTTTTAATTTAGACAAAAATTTTATATGTATACATTTTCAAAACAAAAATTGCCTCTCCAATATCGCGTCCGTTTTTACTTATTTTACTTTACTAATCTGTTGTTACCATGATTTATCGTCGAATTGTTGCAACCGTGATCGGTAGACAGTCAATCGTCGTTTAATATCATTGACAATGACTTGCTATTTATATGCCATCTTCTTTTCATTAAAGCCAGTCTTGTGAAGCGACAATATTGGCTATTGATGCAGTTCACAGCCGATGATCGCTTTCGCTATCTTTCCGGTGATATGCTTCATCTGCCGATTCGTGACTGATGCTGCTTTAGAAATTATGGGGTCAATAAACCATGAAAACAGCTCGGTCAAGTTCAGTGTCGTAGTAAAATTTTTTGTCTTGTTTAACATCTTTCACGCATTCCATTAATGAAATACTTGATATTTAAAAGTTTTTGTAAAAAGAACTTTAACTTGTAATTATATAATACTAGAAATTAAAATAGTATTATTTTATATTTTATGAAAAATATAACTATGTCATGTTACATTAAATAACAAAAAGAAATATACATTTATAGCGTTTAGTATTTATATTAATAATACGAATTATAAATAAGTAACAAAATAGCCATCATTGACTAATATTTTTATTTTGTTATTTTTATCTTTATTTTTATTTTGATACTATAATGATTAACTCAGATAAAATAATATTAAATAATTATTACAATAGTTAGATAAGAATATATGTAAGATAAATCACTTGATAGAATAAAGTTTAATTTTTAATTTAAATTATAGAAATATAAGAAATATATAAAAGAAAAATAAAATTGTAGAATTTAATTATGTTCGTAACTTATAAATTATAAATATAAATATAAATGAATAAAAAAATTTTTGATTTTTATAATTATGCATTTTTCTAATCGAAGATAATTATTTGTTTATTTTTCCAACTTTGAAGAAAAAATGTCGCATATATATTATATATTAAGAAGCACATTATATATTAAGAATAATATTAATTTTTTGTATTTAGGGAAAATATTGGTATATTTATGAAAATATTAAAAATTCACAATCTCATATATCATTTATTTGCAGAGAAACATAATAATTTTATTACGTTGTACAACATAAAGTAACAGAAAGCTACTAGGTGTGTGCATGTAAATGCATTGTACTTAATAAAAATGTTATGACTGTTCTTTGGATTTGCTCTACTTATATATGAATTATTACTACAAACTGCATTATGATCTATAAAAATACATATTGTTATTTTTTATATTCGTCATAATATTCGTCATTACTTTTGTGTTTTCCGCGATTATGTGCAATTATCTTGTAGATCGTGTGCGTATGTTTCACATTCTTCACTCGATAAGGAACGTGTATTACCACTTTCTTCCTGAAAGAAAAGAATTTAAGAGATATGATATTTCTATAAGTATTTCACAAGTTCGTTTATTATATTTCTTTCTTCTTGGCTACAAATACTTACGATTCAATCGGTTGATGCATCAGCGCAAAAATTATCAAGAATAAGATACTGTACTGCAACAAACAGAAATATATTTAAATTATTAATATATAATGACGTGCTCAGAATGCAACTTTATCTCGCAATTACATAGCCTTCTCAATTAAAAAGATATAATTCGAATATTTAAGAAAAGTAGATATATCAAATATTTTAAATAATTGTAAAATTATTCTTATACATAATTGATAGATTACATTTATTTAAAATTGAGTATTAAAATTAAAATTAAATAACATCTTTAATTAAATATTAAATTTAATTGCAATTTAAACATGATAAGGATGATAAACCTTACCAGAATTTTGCTCCTCATCGTGGAGAACATCAAACAAGTGCTGCAAAGCTATAAAGTTGTTGCAAAGCTTTTCTCGAAGCACTTTGGTCAATCGAAAGATATCTTCTGAGCATCGTACAACCATAAAGCGAACGTTTATATACTGCAACCAACAACTAGCGAGGCGAATCACTACACAAAATATTCCATGAAACTCCGCCCAGCATGTACTCATTACTATCACTCGTGTTAATCGCTCACGAAACAATGATTGTGCATCAGATTTTTGTCCTAGAGATTCATAAAATTCATAAAATTATTCCGTTACAGCAAATCCATGAGAGACATTGCTGTTTTATAAAATTTTCACATAATAAAATTTTTATGTGCTACAAGAAGTTATATATCGCAAAAATCGCTAATAATATAAAAATTAACGCTTAAATTTGTCACAAAATTATTCGAAGAAAAATTATATCTTATTAAGCGTTAATTTTTATGACTTATTGACGACTTTTGCGATATTTATAACTTTTATTGTTACTGGTACACTGAAAATGATCACATTTTTAAGTATGCGAAACGTATCCGTTTCTTTTTGTACTATGTTTGTAAAATAAATAATAAACTATTAGCACTTATATTCAGCCTTAATTCATATCAGTTTGTTAATTGTTTTTGATTTGTTCGCTTACTTTTTAACATGAAGTAAAAAAGAAAACATAATTTTATCAATACATATGTTTTTATCTGCGAAACAAGGATTTCCTTTTAGCAATTATTATGAATAGCATAATCGCGGATATCATAAGCTTTATATCGAAGAAAAACTTTATCTTTTCTTTTTTCTCGAATCTCTATGGCATCTTAATAACGCAAGCGCACACAAGCATCAAATCATTCCGTTTAATCGAACGTATACGCAAGTCACTCAAAAGTGAAATCGACATAACGCTGGCGAGCATCATAAAGAAATATATACCGCCTACACGCGGTATATATTATACATATAAACACGTGATTAGTGGTACGCTTGCGTTTTCCAGCGGCCAAAGAAAAAGAAGAAATGGAAGAAAAGATCGCCGCGGCGATCCCGATCGTAATCGCCGACCCTGTTGATTTCACGGCCCCGTTAATCTTTAGCGGATGGAAAACCATTTCGATGCAAAGATCGTAACTGTTACTTGAAAAATGCACTTATTGCATTTTTGTTTTCATTTTTATTACTTGCTCTTTCCTCCTGCTGAACATGTCTCGCTATTTGATGAGCAATTAATGAAGATTTTATAATTATTTTAGAAATTGTAACAGTCACAATCATTACATTCTGTTTCCTTCTTTTAACTGTTCCGTTTTACATTTAGCTAACTTTTTAATTTGCCGATATGAGTAAATTCTTTATCGTTTAATTTGTCACTACTTTTGATTAATTGCGAGTTAAGTGATCCGTGTCTCCGTTAAATCAGGTTGGCCATTAAAAAAAATGTAAATTTCACAAGAATAGATCTTATTAACTTACATAAAATTATTATTTGATCCAAATAAAATATGTAAAGTTGATCGTTTTTCACATTTTTAAATTTAATACACTTTCAAGATTTTCACTAAGTTGCCATTTTCGAAATCATTAATCTTTTTTTTACTTACTTTCATTATGAAGATGTTAATACAAACACATTTACACATTTATAACGTTAAACTGTATTGTAAATGTAAACGTAATCAAAACTGTAATCAAAACTTTCTAACACTGCGCATTATCTTAAGTGGATCCCTAATTGTAGTTTATAATAATAACACTTGCATTATCAATATCGCTTTCCCATTTGTTATGCAACATATAATTTATCTCTATGAAAGCAATTAGAAAAGAATTAGGGCACAACTGAAAGTGAAATACATTCTTTGTTTATTTATTTATTTACTTGATAGATGTTTCAATAATCGATGAATCAAATAGAAATGAATCATACAAGAATATATTTATTTATGTACAACTTAAAAATAGTACAACGAAAAATATACAGAATATAAGTATAAACAAACTATAACTATATAAACAAATTCAACAAAATAAAGTTTTGAAAGATAACGTTCACAACATTGTTAGTTTTAATTTAATACATACATATGATGACTCACTATGACTATGCCTTTTATAGTTTCGATAACTACTTTGATTCAAATCTTCTTCGTTAAAAATATTAAGTAGAAGAGATTTGAATAGCTAAAACGTTTCACATAACTTTCATTTAATATTAAGTAAGTAAAGTTTAATCAGTTGGCAAAATATGTAATCAATTCATATAAGAAAACTCATGCTTAATTGAAAAATTTACCTTTCAAAAGTGATAATCATCTTGAAAAAAAAAAATCTGTGATTTATACAAATAAAGAAAAATATGATATAAGATAAATAACTCATAATTTTAATCACGTAACATGATTAACCGTGTTATCAGATATAAATTAATTAATGTGTCTTTCATTATTAATGAGCTTCATATTCGATATAAGATAAAGATAAGATAGTGTAGTTACGTTTATTTTGCAAATAGCCCGAAAAACCATATAGATCCCCCCTCAAGTTATCCTTAGTTATCCTGTAAAATTTTCTTTAAAGATTTCAAAATCATACGTACATAGTTTAAACAATGCTCGTCGTTTCAATCAATTTTAAGAAGCAGAAGTGAGGCGGATGCAATTATTCGCAAAAACGAATATTTGATCTTTTGTTAGGTCATCTTAATCAATGCAAGAGTATTAGTATAAATATACGCACACACATACGCTAATACACGCAAATTACGCGTGTGGCCCCTATTTTTGGCATAGAAAGTTGAGGAAAATCACGAATCATTTCAAGTGGCGTCGCAAATATATATATATATATATATATATATATAATTAATATATCTATTGCTATGACCAACGCGCAAATATTAATTTAAATGCATAAAAAAACACAAATTGTCATCGTCGGTCGTGTTTAAAGAGAGCTACGTTATTGAACAAAGTCAAGTCGTGCTTGACTTCATTTTCGAAGTCGCGCCTCGCAACTTCGATCGTCTCGTTTTTTCCGTCGTGCTGCTCATCGTCGTCGGCTTCCGCGTCGTATTAATCGTCCTCTTTGCGATGTTACTCAGTAACTCGGTTCTCTTCGTAGTGCTACCGAATTCCGTTCCCTTCAACACGGAGGTCGGCTTTTTCATTAGCATAGGCCGCTTCGAAAACCACGACCTTTTCGTAGTGTTATTCGATACGGGCAACGTGGCGCTTATCGGCGATCTTCTCGTCGTGCTGCTCGTCGCCGATTTCTCCATCGAGGCATTCGCGATCGATCTGTTTGTCTTTTCATTCTTAATTGATTTCTCCGTCACTGTATCCAGTGGAGTACTCTCGACTCGAATCAACAGCGGCGTTTTCTGTGTCGTACTACTCGTCGCGGGACTTCCGGTCGTCATCACCAGTGGCTGTGGTTCCTCTGTCCAGCTACTCTTCGTGATATTCACTCTCAACGTTTCGAACGTATTGCTTGCCGCCACCGATTTCGGAGTGATCACAGTGATTGGCGCCGATCTCGGAGTGATCACGGTGACATTAGCAGCCGACGTTTGCTCTTTAACGAGCTTGACTGTTCCTTCCGGATGAGGTATCGAGGCGACCATGGGTTCCATCCGCTCGCATTCGCCCACAATTAAACATCTTGGATTTTCGATGGTCGTAATCGGATTGCGATGTTTACCGTGCTGACGATGATGCTCGGTTCTTCCTACCTCGCCCGTGATGCTCGCCGTAGGTTTTCGCGAGGCCTGCCTCGGGCGATTGACGGGCTGCTGCCTCGCTTCTTGCTGAAAATCACCGTTCGCCAGATTGGCGAACGCCTTGTGCCAGTCCGCGTCCTCGGACATGAGCGGCTGCCATTTCTCGTGATTGTCGGAGATGATCTCCACGTTCTTCTGGAAGCTGGACTCGGTCTTCTCTCGCTTCACCTTACCCCATGTTATCTGATCGAGGGATTCGCCGTTCTGCGCGATGCCCGATGAGCCTACGACATCGGGCAAGCTGTAACCCCGCGGTCGGATTGTGGTGAACTCGTATATTTTATTGGCGTGGCTCTCCAAGACCTGCCGATGATCGACGAGATAAGGCGGATCTATAATGTGAAGCGCATTCTGAGAGCTCGAACCAGTCTGCGCGCCGTCTTGCGTCTTGTGGGGAGTCGCGTACGAGTTCGACGATGATGGAACGTTGGCCGGCTGCTTCTCGTAAGGATATCCGACGGTTGAATAGACAGTGGGAGCACTGAAAAGATCGTTCTGCTTGACGTAAGAAGTGGAGCTCGCGGCATTGTTCAGGTCGTTTTGATTCTGATAGGAGACCGGGTAGGAGCTCGGGACGTTGTTCAACTCGTTCTGATTCTGATAGGAGATCGGATAAGAGCTCGGGGCGCTATTCAAGTTATTCTGACTTTGATAAGGGGCCGGGTAAGAGCTCGGGGCGCCGTTCAAGTTATTCCGACTCTGATAAGAGGCCAGGTAAGAGCTCGGATCGTTGCTAAACTCGTTCTGCTTCGGGTAAGTGGTCGAGTAAGTGTTCGGGACGGCCGTGTAAGATTGATCGTAGTATCCCGAGGCTGCGTTTACGTTGTACTGCTCGTACGAACCGGCTTGCGAATTGAGAATGTCGCCGGGCACTTTGTACGTGTTCTCTTGTACGTAGGGGCTGGCCTCGATGTGCTCCATCGCCGTAAGCGAGTACAGCGGAGCGATCTGCTGAAGGGATAAACGGTGCTTTTTGTACCAGGTTTTCATGGAATCCTTCGAATCTGGTTCGTTCTCCGCGCTGTTGAGTATCTCCGTCACTTGCTTTATGGCATCGTCTTCCGATTGAAGGTGCGCATGGCTCTTGTCGTTCTCCTCTTCTTTCACAGCTTTCGCTTTAACGGGCGGCAAATTTTCCTTTTCGGTCTCCTTGAGGTCATTCGAGGGACTCTTAGTCGATTGCGGCCCTCGACCTTTACCGGAAACATGGCTGACGTTTCGAGGCAGTTGAACCGTTTGATGACGATTGGAAGAGCTGTACGTCGCGTCACTTGACGCGATGTGGTGATGGTTCAGGAAGTTTGAAGCGCCAGGCTCGCTGAACGGCAGGAATGGTAAAATAGAATCGAAATCCCGTAACTCCTCATCGATCACGGGAACTGGTACTTGCGTTACGAAACGCACCGTAACGTGATTCGAGTCGACCGGTTCCAACAGGCGCAGGTAGATCTTGCGCTTGGACCCCGGCATTTGGATGGGTCCAACCATCGGGCCCAGCTCGTTCTTGGGTGGATCCAACAATTGGTGCAGAATGTCCATGATCGAATCGAAGATATTCGTCTTCGTGGTGACGCGAAACATGGGCTTGATGTAAATCGGCTTCTCGTCGTGCACCTCGGAAACCGAATGCGAATCGAAGTCGTGGACATGATTCTCATCCACCTCGTACGTCGATCCGGGGATCGAGCGGACCTTCACACGCTTTACCGGATGTCTCGTACGATCGCGAGGATGTCGCTGTTGAGATTTAGACTGAGGCTCGGGGATCTTCTTCTGAGAAGGTTTTTGGAAAGTCTCGGTCTGCTCTTGCGATCGAATGCTCTTCCGCGATACATGGGGATGAGTCGTAAATACCTGGGGATGAATCTCAGCATTGGGATTTAATCTTCTCTCTACCGAAGCCTCTTCGAGGACTGATCCCTCTCGCGTTCTTTCCCTTTTTAACCTACATTAATATGTTTTCTTATTATTAATTTTTATGTGTTATATTTGGAACAAAATAATGATAATTGATAAACGCGATAATGAATTAAATATCACTTAATAATACAAATATTTTTATATAACTTTATTATATGTAATAATATATAATATATATATTATTATATATAATAAAATAAATAATATGTAATATATTAACTCTCACAATACTCATACATTATGATAAAAAAGAAAAAAAATTTTGTTTAAAAAAGATTTATTTTTATAAATAAAATTAACAGAGAACTTCTTCTATCTATCTATCTATCTATCTATTATAATTATTTATCAAAAATTTTATAATACTTGCCTATTTAAATGTTGAATTTTGTCACTGAATACTATTGTTGATAGACATGCACAGATCTAAATATATAAAAAGCATATATATAGAATAAAATTGTTTAATTTATATAATATTTATATAACAATTTAAATTTATATTAGTTAAAATAATTAATAATTAATAATTCAAAGAGCGTCATTTATTTAATCGCTTAGAAAATTTTGTTATACAAAAATAATACAAATTGACCATTATTACAATTAAGATTATTTTAAATTTAAAAGACCATTAACTTTTTCCAATTTTATATTAAGTTGGATTCAATTTGCTTTACACGTAATTTTCAATTAATTTTTCGAATGCAATTGTAATTAACAAGCTGTACTCTTAAAGTATCTATAAATTTTTCCGATAATAAAATTTATTCATTTACATTAGATTTTTCATTTTATAAAACTGAAAACAAAGATGCTTGATCCTTGCTTATATGCAAAAAATAATTTTGCGAAAAATTAATAAAGTATAATTAATTAAAAATATAATTTTGTCAGTAAAAATAATTATTTCATCAGAAAAATCAGAAAAATCAAAGATATTCTGATATTTTTTTTCTTCTTCTTATCCTTATTCATATTCCCTTGTTTATCATTATCGACGAAATTAAGGATAGATTCGTCATTTTAACAATAATCTCGACGGATGCTTTGCCGTCAGTCACGTTGATCGTAATTCACACTTTTCTCACTCAATCATTCCCTGACGAGCTGTCCTCACTCACCGTAATGAAACACGTGATCTTCATATCGTTGCTCGCACGAAATACCGCTCACCTCACCGATCTATTGCGAGAACGACTGTTGTGCCATGGTGCAAGCCACCTCTTTTAAAGCTTCTCCCGTACCTATTAGAGCGGGGTCCGTGTCGAAGTAGACTTGATAACGCATCTCCGTGTGTAATCCCCCAACGTATACGTCCGTGACGACGCCCACGAAAGTTAGGCGAATAATGGGAACGATTAATTT